GTGTTTGTGTGCAGCTCATATAAAAGTGTAATGTAATAGATAGTCATAAATGGTAGTCAAGCTTGTAGTCAGGTTAGTTCAGTTTTCTAGATACACAGAGATAGATATCAGATGGATAGGTGGTACGGGAGAATCGTCTATATTATGTCAATTATGTTTTAAATAAATGCTGATTGGCCAGTAGCCAGGCAGGAAGCATATGCTGGACAACCAGACCGGAGTAGAGGCGGGGCAATGAGAACAGGGGAATTCTGGGAAGGAGGAGCCCATATCTCCCAAGTCCTGTCCAGACACCCAAGAAGCAGAAAGTGACCTGTCCCACTGAAAAAGGTACTGAGCCATATGGCTAACATATACTAGAATAATGGGCTAATAAAATTATAAGAGCTAATACAAAGCTTGAGCTAATGGGCCAATCAGATAATAACTTATGGAAGCCTCTGTGTGATGTTCTTGGAGAAATGCTGGCTGTGGGAACTGGGCAGGGGAGAAATCCCAACAAGCAGGCACTATATGTTACAAATGGTGCCCAACTGGACAACTGCATTCACATATAACTTGGGAGAGCTTGGAAGTAATTCTAGACAGAAAAGAATAGAATAAAGCATGGCTTTTCGGTAGCAGCAATTTCTCAGGTCCACCCTCCTTGATAGAGGCAAACACTCTCATTTAATGGAGGCTTCCTGACTCAGCTTTAGTTGCGAAACCCTGCAGCTCTTAGAGAGGTCCTGCCATGAAACACTTACACATGTTGATGAAAAGCTGACTACATGCTTTTTGGTTTTCAGCTGTAGCAGGAAAAAAGCTGCTCTGTTTTAAAATGCTGGCTTTCTGGTCCTTCCTGTCAGGGCAAACTCTGACTCTTTCAGGAAGGCAGTCCAACTACGGAGCATTTGAGTGTGGCTTGTGAGCACACTGCTGCAGCTTGCTTGCTGGCAGGGACCTTGAAATGCCATAGAGTTGTGGCAATAAACATAGCTACAGCCAGTATCTCTGTCATGAGGCTGGAATTTCACAAAGCTAAGAAATGGACTGGATCTATCCGTAAAAGCCACAGCTTTAATTCTCTAATTCTTTTTTAGCATATTAAAGACTCGTGTCAGCAAAAAGAGAGAGAGAGAGAGAGAGAGAGAGAGAGAGAGAGAGAGAGATAGTAAAGAGAGAGTCAAAGACAAAAAAAAACATCTAAATGGTTTACAGTGTGTTAAAATATAAACAGTCTTTGGAGAAAAAAGAAAAAGGTTAAAATCCTTAAAATAAAAAAAAGAGAATAATTAGTTGTGGTGGTACACACCTTTAATCCCAAAACTTGGGAGGCAATGACAGGTGGATCTTTGTGAGTTCAAGGACAGTCCGGTCTAAAGAGTTATTCCAGGATAAAGATATACAGAAAACCTGTCTCAAAAAGTAAAAGTAAAAACAAAAAAAAAGAGGTTAAAGTAAGTTTCATAAAGATGGAAAATACAGAGAATCTGTATACTGTATGTTATTATGGTCTCTTTGAATTTTTGAATGCTGAGGAAAGAGCAACAGCTACCGAAAGATATTTATTTATAATTGTTGCTGAATTAACTCACGATAGGTATTTTGAAAATACCTTGACGTCAAAATTGAAGTAATAAGTTATGCTCCTTTGGATAAGACATTTTGCTTTTTTTCCATGGGAAACAAGAATCTGTGGATTCATTCTGAGTTAAGAAAAATCAGGTTTGATCAAGGTATACCAACTGAGAAATTTCCACAGGAACAGATGGCCCAGATGTCAGAGTTCTACATCCAGAACAGATTCAAGATGCTGCCTGAGATGTCCAAGCCTCACAGAATACTCCAGTCAGGACTTGATCATAATTCTAAATTTTCTTTAGGTCCTCATCAGATTATCAGTGCCCCCAACCAGTAGGAAGTAGCTTGAAATACTACACACACATTCGCCAAAAATGGACTATGGGTATTTTTCCTTTGTTTAAAAAAGAGTGGGAGGTAGTGTGGGAGAATTGTCTATATTCTGTCAATTATGTTTTATCTAAATGCTGTTTGGCCAGAAGCCAGGCAGGAAGTATATGCAGGACAACCAGACAGAAAGTAGAGGTGGGGTAATGAGAACAGGTGACTTCTGGGAAGGAAGAACCCATTCCTCCTGAGTCCTGTCCAGACATGAAAAAAGCAGGATGTGACCTGCCCCACTGAAAAAGGTACTGAGACATATGGCTAACATATGCTAGAATAATGGACTAATGTAAGTTATAAGAGCTAATACAAAGTCTGAGCTTATGGGCCAATCAGTTTATAACTTATGGAGACCTCTGTATGATTTTCCTGGGGAAATACTGACTGTGGGAACTGGGCAGGAGAGAAACCCCAACAAGCAGGCCCTACATATTACAGATAGGTATTGTTCAAACCTTTCAATGACTACAGAATTTGGCATTTAAAGTGTTATAAGAACTTAGGATTTTTCATGACAATGAGACAGCTTTGCTCCTGGCAGCACGAGTATAATTCATGAGTAATATGGACATCAAAGAGTATCATTATGGAGTTTGCTAGCCATTTGGTCAAGAAACTGTTCTTGCCTGAACTGCTTGATTATATGCCGTATGAAGGAGTCAGGAGACAACATGTAGTCACCGCTGGTAACAGAGAAGCTAGAAACTTACTGGTAGGCTACAGCCACATGGCCATATATAGATTAATAGAAATGGGATAAAATAAGATTTAAAAGTTAGTCAATAAGAAGCTGGAGCTAATGGGCTAAGCAGGAATTTAATTGATACAGTTTCTATGTGGTTATTTTGTGAGTCAGGGCAGCCAAGAACAAAAAAGCAGCCTCCCTACAATGCATATGTATTTCTGCTCTTGTTTAAGATACTTATTTGTGCAGCTCATTTAAAAATTTTGGGAATATACCCTAGAGATGCCCAAACATACTACAAAAGCGTTTGTTCAACTATGTTCATAGCAGCACTATTTGTAATAGCCAGAACCTGGAAACAGCCTAGGTGCCCCTCAATAGAAGAATGGTTAAAAAAGGTGTGGAACATATACACATTAGAGTTTTACTCAGCGGTAAAAAATAATGACATCTTGAATTTTGAATGCAAATGGATGGACATAGAAAACGCTTTACTGAGTGAGGTAAGCCAGACCCAAAAAGAGGAACACGGTATGTATTCACTCATAAGTGGATTCTAACCATAATTAAAGGTCTTTGAGCCTATTATTCGTGATCCTAGAGAAGCTAAATAAGAAGACGAACCTGATGAAGATTATTTACCTATCCGCCAGGAGGTAGGAAATAGTCAAGAGTCCCAGGTAACCTTGGGTGCATGGGGGGGGGGTGGGAGGGTTGATGGAAGGGGAGAGGGTTAGAGAGAAGGGAGTAGGGGAGGAATGGAGAAAGCTCGGTTGACCGGGATGGGGGGAAGGGAGGAAGGATGAATGTGGGATCAGGGAAGAATATATTTCAACTAAGGGAGTCATATTAGAGTTTACAGGAAACTTGATTATATATGGGATCCCAGGTCCAAGGAGAGATCCCCAGATTGTTCTCTGGACAGAGGAGGGGGTGCCTGAGCCGGCCTTGGCCCGTGACCATACTGATGAATATTTTGCTTATCACCATAGATCCCTCATCTGGCGTTGGATGACGATACAGATGGAGGCCCGCGTTGGAGCACCGAACTGAGCCCCCCAAGATCCAAACGAGGAGCAAAAGGAGGAAGAAAATGACGAAGGACTGCGAG